CAGACTATGAGAAGCGACGCCTTGCTAAGGACGCAGCTCGTCCCCCCCCCCCCCCCCCCGGGTCCGGCAGGTTATCAGTTGTTCGGGCAGTCATTCGGGATGCTGAATGGCAATTGAGTGTGCAGGTGCTCCTTGCTCGGGTGGTCCGCACTCGTTGCGAGCCTCTCGGTTGTCATGGGCGATTTGTGAAGTTCACCGGCATTCGACCTTCCTCAGTTTGTACCGCGACGTCGTCGTTCCTTCCGTTTCGATGTGAGGTCCTCGAGCCCTGGCGTCTTCTGATTACGGATGTTGGCCATATTTCTTCAAGAACGTGCCTCCGACCACTTCTCCACCGCCCCTTCCATGCGTCCACACATCCTGAGCATATACCGAAGTCCGCCTGTATCCGCACTTTGTCAATGTCTTGGCCAGATCGTTCTTCGACGTTGTCGGTCCCCCTTCCTCTTGTGTTCAGGACTATGGCGCCCGACAATGTGCCGACGGGAACTCCCCAAAAGGACCCTTCTTCGTGTCAGGGCATCCTACCGTGCACCGCACTTATTAGTCAACAAAAGTTCGCCGGTATCCGGACTTCGCACAGGGGTTCTCCATTCGAACACTGTCGCTTTTCTGCCCCTTATGTGCGGTCAACAAGGCGCGCGGAGAGCTGTTCTTTGTTCAGAACATTTCCTGGCGCTGTGCAGGCGATGACGTCTGGAGGACGTCTTCACCCTGCGCTCCACGGCAACATACCTCCGCTTAGAGACTGTTGTGTTTACTACACGCCAGGAATTTTGTTTTTCTGTGCCGCGTCATGGCTAGTCCGGCGGCATCTGGACTTCTCTTTTGTGCTGATTGTTTGTGCTTTCCTTGTTTCCCGATGTTTCTTTCGTTTGCAAACAGAATGTCTACATCAAGGCGTGAGGAACAGCCTACCGGGACCTCGGGAAGGGAATCGACGACCAAAAAGTCGTGGTCCGATCATATGTGCGCGAAATCGTATGTCGATTGGTGCTGCGGGGATGAGAACGACCCCACAAGAGCGCCTTGCGGTCCGGTTCTATTCGTGGAAGATAGTAGACGCCGGAGAGTGCTTGGTTCGGTTGAGGGATGGCAAGCGGCTAGGAGTCACGACAAGATGTATTTCAAGCTGCACGCGGTTTATAATTCGAAGGGCGGCATCGTGGCTGCTTCCAAAGGGGTGGCCCTGTCGTGGGATCTGTTCCAGGGGTTCGGTGCAGGGGCCTTGAGGACCCCTTTCTACACAGAGCTCGCGGCTAAAGGTCTTGTTTCCGCTATGGAGTTCTTCAACTTGTTGGAAAAGAGAGACGTCCACCTCGATGAACCCTGCCAGATCTCATGCGACCTGGCACTGTCGCAGCCTGTGCAGATGTGCACCGGGTTCGAGTCAAAAGGTGTTCCGTCCGAGGGAGGAGATTTGGGTTCCGGTGCTTCATTCCAACTCCACCGCGGGGAGGAACGTGGTCACTTCGACGACAGCGAGGGGGAAGAAGAGGAGAGGACGTCGGGTTCGCCAGTTAGAGGGGGAGACTGTAGGGTGCTGAGCATTCCGGGGGTTGAGATAAGAACACCAGTCCAGGAGCGGCCCTCGACGTCAGCCGGGGGTCACACAATGGGGTCGGGGGGGAGGCCTGCTGGTGTCTTGTCCGGTGGAGAAGAGGGTGAACAGCAGTCATCGCAAAAGAGAAGGGGAGATTCACGTGGAGACTCGGCAGCTGCATCAAAAAAACAGAAGACAAAGGCCCCGCAGACGTCAGGGGGAAAAAGGAAGGGAGGGGAGGGGCATGTGGGCGCTGCGAGTCACAAACGCCCATCCTCGGCGCAGATTCAGCCCCTGTCCGTCCTTGTGCAGCAGACGGGTCCGATCGACGTCGATGCGGCGTATTTCCTTGAATGGAAAGACGGCGTGCGCACAAAGCGAGAGATACCCGTTAACCCGTCGCAAGTCGTCGACATCGGGGAGTGGGAAGCGGGGTACAACCAGCGTTCCTTGGATCCGGTGCATACACAGCTGATCATCGACTCGATGACGACGGCCTACTCGCAGGCCTCGAAGACTTACGAGCTGCCCACACTGAAGTTGGCGCCGTTGGGGCTGGAGAAACCGAAGCCGTGGGTGCGTGCACAGCGTCTGAAGCCCGAGGACTGGAAGGACGAGCTGGCGGGCCAATACTACTACTACGCTGTTGCCGGCCAGCATAACGAGGCCGCCGCCAGGACGCTGCTTGGCACAGACGTGGCGTTAAGGTACAACTTCGAGAGGTGGCCTGCGCGAATGGTGTACTTCTCCGACGCGGACTTCGAAGGGTATTTTCTGGTCAGCGCTGAGGATAACAAGAAGTACCTGAAGGCGCCTCCCCGACAATCGAAATTGTTGATGAAGGACATCCGGTGGTGCTGGAAGGATAAGGGTTACCCCAGAGCTGTTATGGGGAACCCGAGCGGGAAACAGGCTTAGGTGGAGTCTTGGCGCCGGTTTTGTAAAGATGCGCTTCAAAAGCCGCCGTACAATCATTTGTGGACACTCGCTGACGACAAGACCGAGCAGGGCATAAGGAAGCAGAACGCTGCCCTTTGATCTTATTTCCCGCTTGCGATGGCCGGGGAGAGCGCGTGGAAAATGGGAATGGAATTTTTCGAGAAATGGGAGATGGGCAGATTGCTGGCACCCGAAGGGGCGAAGTGGATCGTGAAGAAGAAGAAGGTGAAGGGCGTCAAGGCCGGTGTGAGCCACATCGAAAATGATAAGACCGGGCGAAAGGAGGTCGTCTACAACATCCCCATCGAAGCGCCTCAAAAGAAAGGAAAAAAAGAAAAGGAACCTGGCGACTGGTTCGTCCAAGTCAACGAGCTGGATCCGCACTGCTAGAAAAGCATGGAAGCCCTCACGGACAATGAGAAATTTCGGCTGCTGAACGAGGTTCTCAACTGCGAGGTGGTGTGGGTGCAGACCGGCTCCTCTGCGTTGGCAAAGCAAGGGAAGCTGGGGATGCAAGAGGCAGTGCATCTGGTGAAGTGCGACCTCATCTTGGTGCGGTTATGGAACTACTACCAGTTCAAGTATGAGAATCGGTCCGACTCCGATTGGACGCGTTCGTATCCCTTCCTGCGAAAAAGAGAGGCGATTTTGGCGCAGTTCAAAAGCCAGGGACTGGATGCAGCATTGTGGGACGGAAGCAGGAAACTCGTTGGAGACTCATCGTTCTTTAGAGACTATCCCCCGTTCATGGGCTGTGAGGACGACAAGTCGATCAAGGCGACGGAAAAACTGGTTGTTAACAAGAAGTTGTCCATCGACTGGAAGAACAAGGTCCTTTCCATGCTGACCGACAGCAGGTCGAAGAGCATGGATGTCGCGCTCACCGAAGGCATGGTGCACATTCGGTAGCAGGACTCGGGGGATGTGACATCCATCGCCCCCTTCGGCGTCGATCCTCTGGAGGCGCAGATGAAGGTCGTCGACTTGGAGAAAGCGGTTGGGATCACGAAATGTCACACTGCTGTTCTTGATTTGTGCGAGCCTGTGGACATCACACAGTGGACACAGCAAGCTTTCGAGAGTTTGAATGCCCTTCTACAACATTTGTTCCCTTCACACTGGACGGTCGTTGCTTTCGTCCCCCGGGAGCACGACTACTACTTCATAACCAGTCTGCACCATCTGTTCGTTGTCAAGGCAATGGCAGGAAAGTGGGTGAGGAGGCCGCAGCAGAAGAAAAGCTTCGCGGTCGGCAACAACTTGTACTCAGTGGATGACCGCATGTACATCCTCTTCGTGACGACTTGCGAGAGAACACGTTTGTGGTTTACGACGTGAGCTTGGAGGCGGGTGATGCTGCTGCTGTGGGGGCACATGTCAAAGTCACACCGACGGACGTCTCGGAGATGTCGTTCGAGCCTTGTGAATGGCCCCTGGTCATACCTGGCCGTGACCGCAAAGTTTACAAGGACATGGAACGGAACCCTGCGCAGTTGGCCCATCTGCTGGAATTCGTGTGCAAAAAGGGGGAGGGTGTCATGTTTCTCGGGAAGGCGCACGCGCAAGTCGTGTGGGAGGCTTTGAAGGGTGGTCGCAACGTCATTGCGTTGGAGGGGAATTCGGAGTTGCTGCAATACACGTTGGATTTCTTGAAAGGCGCGGTCAACTCGGGAGACCACCGCTGCGAGTTCATTTCGAGGACGGACAAACCGCGACGCGCTTGGGAGTCGTCCACGGACATGTGCTTCAAACTAAGCGAGAGGAAAAGGGACAGGATATACGAGTTCCTCTTCCTGGAGACGCGGCCCAGGAGGGACAGTGACCCTGAGTATATTCGACGCAAGGAGCACATGTTGGTGTTGCTGGACAACTACCACGGCGCCTCGCGTTTGAATGCGAAGAACTTCCTGGACCGGCTGGAGTGTTTGTACTTTGTCGAGTCGGAGCAGGAGCTCCGGGTCGCGAGTTACAGTGCATTGATTGACACAGACGAACAGGCAACAACCGGAGTCGTTTTCGATGGCAGGTGCATCGTCAAGCCAGGCCACTCCAGCGGCGCCCATTCGCAGGTCCACCCCCGGCAAAACCCCCAACAAGTTGTTGGTGAAACTCACACCCTGCACTGTTGCCCCGCCTCGCTTGCGTCCAGGGAGTGCAGTCCCGCCGGAACATCCTTCTTGGAAGGATGAGTCCATTCACTTTGAAGGGCACGACCACACTCGTTCCAGTGAAGCAGACTGGGGTCACGACACCCGGGAACGATCCAGCCTGCAATCCGCGAAGGGGAGTGGATCATGGCCGTCGTGGACTCAGCTGGGCAGTGGGAGCCATGCTCGCGCCTTCCCAAGTCCGAGTACTTGCAACTCGCAAGCAGTGGTATGGCGGATAAAGTGGCGTCAGAGAACCCCCTTTTCCAGGCCACCGACCCGGCCGTCGTTAAACACGCTGATCGTTTGTTTCTAGAGCTCCAAGACAAGGGGTGGATGGAACTCTCGGACGAGTTTTACGACTTCGATACGAGCCCTTCGAAGGGAAGCGTGGATTGGAAGGTCCCCCCTGCGACGGGGTCGCAGGGGAGTGCGGGAGGGGGTGGGGGAAGCGGTAAGGGGACATGAGAGGGCGCCGCGTCAGGGGGATCGGTTGGCACTCACGACCAGGGCAGAAGAGTGGAATGCGGCGGGCGGGTCGGGTTGTTGAACATTGCTAACAAGACGACCGTCGGGGCCAGCAAATCGGCTAAGTTCGCCGACATCCGAACTTCTCAGAATGTGGAGCCGCCGCCTTTGGACGTTGCGAAGTCCGTCGGCGTCCGCGCTGCATCCACTACACATTGGTCGGCCATCCCCTCGACGACTGAATTCGCCGCTTCCGTTGGCACCGGGAGAGGCTCGAGTGCCGGTGTTCCGATCACCGGCGTCAAGTACAAGTTTGCCGCCATCCGGACGAAGCCTCCTGAGGTACACCATGGGGAGCCCGTCCTGCGCAGCGCCACAGGAGCAGAAGTGTCGGAAACGGGTGCCAAAATGAAGTCCGCCGGAATCCGCACTTCGGTTTCGTCCGGTGCGACGTCCGACGACTTTCCTACGCGGCAGGGGACTGCATCGGCCGTCAGAGACGGGCAGCCTGCAGAGTTCAATGCACGGTTGGATAGCGGGGCGCCGTCTGTGCTCTGCAATTTGAACTCCGCCGGTATCAGAACTTGCTGGGGAACGGACCTGCAGTCAGAGGTCGTCGGGCGGGCGGAAGATGAGATGTGTGCGGGGGCAGAGGACTTGTCGACAGGAGTCGACGCGGGGCCGGTGGGAGGAGCTGATATGCGCGAGAGGGATGGGGGGGAGGAATGGGTACAAGTGGAGGACAACCAAGAAGAATTTGAATGGAAAGAAGGTGGGGGAGGAGGGAGGACGAACGACCAAAGGGTGGAGAAGATGTTGGCTGCGTTGAGTCGTCTGACTCGTTCGGACACTTGTACACGATGCAATGTGGAGGTGATGTCGACGACGAAGCGACGACGATGGAAATGGAGACTCAGGTGGGCATTGGCCTTTCCGCAGACCCGGATGCCTGTGACGTGCACCCGCTGGCGGCGGCAGTGCATCTCCGGGACGTGTGCGACGAGGTCGCCATGGCAGAGGGCCGGACAAAAACGAATCATGGAATGGACGTCAACGACGTCACTGATTGCAAACTCCGCGAACAACAGGCCATATCAACTCTGTCCCCGCCTACAAAAATCGTCGGGCGCGTCGACACCGATCATTCCTTGGGCGCCGACTTGGAGGCCCCGTCGCCCTGCTCTTTGACACTAGCAGACACCTTCCCTGGCGCAATGGGTGGCGAGGTTGCCAGCTGCCAGCATCTGACGTCCCTGAAAAAAAGCAGGGTGGCCACTCAGCCTCTCGCGGTGCTCACGTTACCCGCGCCCCGGTCGCCGATGAAGGAACGGAGGGAGAAACCGGCTGGTAAGCGTTAATGATCTTCGCCACGTCTGCACGTTAACGTCTCTATAGTGCCAACGATGTCAGTCGGCTATCCTGTCGTTGACGAGAGGACAAGTTTCGCCTTCCGATAGACGGTAGCGAAGACGGAGGTCTGTGCGGCCACAAAAGAGGATTGTCGACACTGGCGCAGTTCTAGCTGCGCCAAAATTCGAGCCCTGAGGGGCACACACAGATCAACCGGTGTTGGCCTCGACACAACAAGTGCGGATATCGGCGGACTATAACATTGGGTCCTTTCGGTACGACACACCTGCCTCGTCCGCGTCGTCTGGAGTGTGCTATTCTTTCGTCGGCAGGACAGGTCGTTGTGGTCCGCCGGTATTCGCACTACCATTGTCAACGACATGAGGAGAGCTGACACATGGTTAAATATGGATTCCGACGGACTTTCATCCGTGACCGGCACACAGAGACTGACGTCGTCACCCTTCCGCAATACAAGTGCGGATACCGGCGGACCAAACAACCCCTGCCGAGAAGATAAAACAACCCTTCTATCTGCTGGTTGTTTCAGTCCGCCGGTGTCCGCGCTTCTATTGTGGGTGCGTGATGTGCTTACTCTCTGATACCCCGCCGACATCTGCACATGCGCAAGTGCCTGCTTTCCGTCTCCCGCCGACACTGGTCCGGCGGTATACAAAAAACAGACCTTCCGGTGGTCCGATCTTTTTAATGCGCCGGTATCCTCGCTTCCTGTGTCAGGGCCGGACGTGGTTGGTCGGTGTCTGCGCGTTGTGGCTTCTGGTCCACCGGAATCCGGACTTCATCGTTTGCCGCCTTCCATACTATTTGGCCTGATGTTTTCTTGCTTCACGTTGTGCAGGGGTCTCAGGCTCGACTGCGCTCCTCGTCTTCGTGTCCAAAGGCTCACATGATCCTCGCTGAACCCGACCACGTGATGACAAACTCCATTGGTTGGAGAAGCCATCATCTGCATGGCTATGTCAATATTTTACTTTTCAACTTTCATCGAATCGTATATTCATTTCGGGTTCTGTCTTTCTTTTGTTTTACAGGGGTAGGGTCGACTCGGAAACGGAGGTCCTCCATTTTCTCGAAATATCCGGCACGAATATTGCAGAAAGTCCCCGGGTTCACGACAAGACACAAGAATATGTTAAAGGCATCAGGGGTTGATGTCGAGACTGGGGAGAAGGACCATGCCGTGGCCATTGATGAATGTCTTTCCCTTCTGCCTTCGGAGAAGGGGACGTATCCGCGATCTGTGACTAGGGGTCTGGCCATGTATGAAAAATACTTAGCAGAGCATCGCGCGATGAGGGACAATCTTTAGAACGCCATTTCTCACAACCCGGCGTGTGCATTGGTCGATGATGTGTAGTTTGCACCAGAGCACGTGGAGCCTTGGGGGGGATTTTTGATAACACGATTGCGCCTCGAGTCTTGACGGTTATGGGTGACATATCCCAAGGCTTGGTGCCACCTCATCATGTTCTATCCACTTTCGATGAAGGTCAAGTGAGAATCACAGCTAAAGATCTGCTCACCGTCTTGCTTGTCGATGGGAAGCTCAACGATGAGGTGGTGAATTTCTACATGGCGCTTTTGGGGTCGACTGCATGCATGACACGTCAAACATCATCAGGCCTTCGAGTCTTCAGCTTCAGCTTCAGTTCTTTCTTCTTCAGTAAGCTGCAACTTCATGGACACGGTGGGGTGGAAAGGCGGGCTAAGAATGTAGATCTGCTTCACTTCGATATGATCTTCGTTCCGGTGCACAAAGACAATGATCACTGGATCCTCCTTTCCATCAATTTGAGGGACAATGTCTTCGAGATTCTCGACTCCTGTCCTCGCGTTATAGCAGATTCGCGTTTCTACCTTAGTGTTTTCGAGTTTGATTGTACAGTACTTAGAACATCATACCTCACATGGCCGCTCGCCGAGGAGTTGGGAGTCTATGGTGGGGAACGTTGTTGTGGAAGGAGTTCCGAGACAAGTTGACGAAGCTAGTTGTGGGGTGTTCATGTTGACGTTTGCAACGCTGTTGCAACGCGGTGATCGACCACTTTTCAGGTTCTCTTCTGAAGATATACCTGTAATTAAACGACAATTGGCAACATGTCTTTTGGAACACCATTGTCTTTGATTGATTTCCATGACTTCTTTACATTTTTTTGACTTTATTTCATTCAATGGTGATTGTTTTTGCTTAGACATGACATTACTCCACTGCCTTTCTCAGTGCAACTTTGTTCTCTTTTATTCGCTCAATTTCGAGTTTTGTTTAGGATGGTCGTTGTCTGTATGGTGGCATTTGTAGACTTTGTCATCTGCATCTTTTCTCGTGCGGTGGGACAAATTCTTGTTGCGTTCTTTTCTCCGAATTTCACATATAAGAACCTAGAGTGTGCATAACAATTGAAATCAGATGATATCCGAATTTCTTGTGCGGTATAATAAATTGGAGTGCCCGTGCATAACAACTCCCGATAAGTGCGTTAGTGTGCAGTTCGTTACGCGACCATCACTTGCTTTGTGATTGCCTGTAGTGCATTTAACAAATGACTTCGTGTTCATGTATGGGACTTCTGTGAATGGCCTGCTCAGGTGCAGATGTTGCTTGCCAATATAATTAACCCCCTTCTTTGTATGCATTTCATCACATAGCAAAAAAAATCTAGATATTAACAAACATATATTGCATCACTTGAACAAATTGCAGTAGCGATGACATTCGGAAATGTATTATCCGCCATGGGTTCGGTAAGGACACCACACTCATCAAATTTCTTAAGTATAACAAGTATGGATCTGAACACACTTCCACATGTTGGCTAAGTGCCTGGGCGTGCTTGTCGCTATACTAAGCCTTCTAAAGTATAACAAGTGTGGATCTCAGCACACTTCCACATGTTCGCGAAGTACCTGGTCGTGCTTCTCGCTATACTAAGCCTTCTAAAGAACACGAATCTCACCGAATTCATATAACCGACTCGCCGAGAGGATAGACATACATGTGTTACTCAAAGATAACCGAACCAAGCTTGTCCAACAAGGAGACAATCAAGGCGCTTCATAAACGTGTTATCCAACATCGATCCGGTTGTAACGCCTTGCTCATTAAATTTTTGAAGTACAAGAAGTATGGATCTCAACACACTTCTCCATGCGGGCCAATTGCCTGGGCATGCCAGTCGCTATACTAAGCATTGTAAAGAAGACGGAATCTCACCAAACATCCATATGAATATTAGATGTTTCGGCCGAGAGGATGGACATGCCTACGTTACTTCGGGATAGTGGAAGCGAGCTTGTCCGAGAAGGATACAATTAAGCCGCCTTGCTCATCACAATCCTAAAGAAGTACGGATCTCAGCACACTTGTCGCACTTCTCCGACAAGGACACAATCAAGGGGCCTTGGTCCTTACAATTATAAACAAGTATGGATCTCAGCACGCTTCCGCATATGGGCCGAGTTGATGGGCATGCCTACATTGCTTAGGTTGTAGCCAAAACTGAATTCGTTCGAAAGAGGACACAATATAATGTCCTATTTTAACGAATAACATGTTACGTGTTTCGAGTGCAATGTGACCGTTGAGGCCGACCCCAGCTTCGATATGCAGATAATCGCTGTCAAGACTGAACGTTCCTCGTGCCCAAATGCATTTGTTCATGATGATAAAATCCCTGTCCACATTGTCGATCAAAAAGGAATACTCGCTCACGTACGACGAGGTTTCGTAGAACGTTGTCTCGTATATAAAGTCGCACGATGGTGTGTCTTCGTCATGCATCCTACAGGACAAGAAACCGGAATTAGTTCGAAATTCACATCTCATCATTATCTTTGCGGATTTCGTAGCTATCAAATCCGAATCAGTTTGCATTTAACTAAACGGGCACGTCGGACGGACCGGAAAGACAGCCGTTCCCCAGGGCCACAAGCGCTTTCCCGCAAACGGATGTCAGTATTGTAAGGCCTGTCACGAATTTGCTCTCATCCGTCCTTTTGCGAAAAGGTCTTCTCCAGGAATAGGCCATAGTTTCGGCGCGCTGCCATTGTTCCTCGTCCGAGGTGGAAAGTTTCCACTTTTTCGTCCAAGCGCCGAAGTACCTTTCGCGAAGATCGGACGAGTGACCTATAGGCACCCACCACTGTATACATAAACAACCGATATGAGGTGAGGAACGGTCGTCCACAACCTCAGACTATGCTCTGCCAACCCAGAACGGGACACCTTGAGACAGTTCCTCATCAGGCGGCCTGACAATCAGAAAATCACCTTTGTTTATATGGCGCCGAGGGTCGAAGTCCACTTTTGGACAGCCCGCCCTCGGTCCTACATATATAAGCGAAGCATCTGGCGAAGGAGGGTCAGCTTCTTGAACTTCCTCCACAGTTTCTCCAGAGTTTGTGGCCAAAAGGTGTGAGGGTAGATCTCAGGCTCATCCGCTCCGAGAACATCCTCTTCCTCACCCTCTTCCGTCTCCTTCATCTTTTGTTTTTGGATCATATCGTCCGCCTCGACGAAGATGGCTTTCCAGTAAGACAAAGCATCCTCCCGCTTGTCGACTTCCTCCTTCCTATATGTCTGCCACTGTTCGAGGACGTCGAGAAATTTTTGGACACTGTCACGAGCCATCCGAAAATCCTCTTTAACGACACAGGGCATAACACATGGCTGTGGAGCGGAGGTAGGGCGTGCATACTGCCCATCGACAACCGGGAACCAGTGAACTGGTCTGCCTTCCGGCATCCATTCCGCATCCGTACAGTACTTCGTGTACACCACGACGGAACTGCCGTCATGCATGAAGAATTTGAAGAGATGCGGTTTCGATACGCCGACGATGCTTCTGTCGACGTATCGATCCACTACCCGGCGCCAATCAGCAATGTGATCAAGCTCAATGCACTTCGACGGTATCTTGTGCGATGACTCGATAAGCGAGAACAACTGCTTCATGGTGTAAGCATCGTTGTCCTTTAGTTTTTTCGAGCAAACACTAAAAATCGCGTCTATGTCGGTATGCGTGTGGCCAACGAGCATGAACCCCACTTTGACATCTTCAAAAATTCCGAATTTCACCAGAAGAGAGGCCAAACACATAAGGTATTGGTTTTTGTTTTCCCTCCAACAATTGTCCGCCTTGATTCGGAGGTGGCGTGGCCATTTCTGTCTCGACGCCTGCAACTCACATAGAGTCCGCATAACGCACGTGATGGTGCCATCGAAACCGTGTGCATAGAAAGGCAAATACGTGTAAATATAAATGGACGGTTTCCTGCTGTGAGCAACGACCTCGGTGAGGTTCCTTTTCATCATCATGTCGTGTCGATGATCCTTGGAGTAATTATGCATGCCGATGTGAGGAATCGTTGTCTTTTTCTGATCCATTCCATCCACTATAAGACAGAGGTATTTCGCAGGGTTCAAAATGGAACGAAGTTTCCAGTCAGCGTAATCCGTACGGTGAGCGACCTGATCTAGTTGGTGTTTGCGGTGCTTTTCATCGAAATCCCTATGGTCAGGAAGGAGAAAGGCGTTATCTCTGGCCTGTCTAAGGCGGACGCACTCGCCACACTTTGTGAACGAGTTGGACTTAGCAAGGTCGGCATGCCACAAGTACTTTCTCCATATGGAGTAGAAGACTTGCTCTGAAACGACGGTCTGAACCACCGCTTCCAAGTGCGCCTTGATGGACTCGTATACAAGGAGCTTTGTGAAATATGCAGGGAACCTAACTTTAGGTCTGTGTGAGGTCCCCCTCACAACCATTTCGTTAGGCATAGCATCTCCATGTTCTTCCACGAACCTTGTCACACGAGTCAGCATGCTCACATACTTCGATCTCGGGTTCAACAATCCCCATCGACCATGACGGCCACGGATGACCCCGTCCGACTTGCACTTGCTATAACGATGAAATATGTTTCGACATATCCCTATTATTTTGCACCAACCAACGATGCACACCCGGCGTTTGCACTGCACCGGTTGGACTCTTTCCAGACCGCCGTTGAGGATAGTGAAATTGTCGAGGGTTTGCATCCACCACTCGATCCTCCTTTCGAGGGACATTTCGTAATAGGCTTCGCGCACCGGTTTGATATCATCAATGGTCAAGACCCGACGACACTTGTTCTTACAACATTTGTGCATCGGGACGAGCGCAATGTTAGTTTCATTCAATCGATTTTTGGCTCTCTTCGAATGTTGTGACCTTCTAACCGGCCTAATTTTCCGATTATATCTTCCCCTTTTTCCAGGTAGGGACTGCTTCGGGAGTTTCAGGGTGACTTTTGGTTAGGAGCCTATGCTCTGCACCTAGGAATTTTGATTAGGGACTGCTTCAGGAGTTCCAGGGTGACTTTTGGTTAGGGACTTATGCTCTGCACCTAGGAATTTTGATCGGTCCGTGAGAGCGGTTCTCGGCAAATCAGATTGGGAGGATTCCGATGAACTATAGAAATCTGTGTCTACAAAACCAGTCTGCCAATTTTCCATTGCAACCGTGGCTGTCATCGACGGAGAGCCAATTTTTTCGGCTTCACATGCAATTCTCTTACCTATCTCGACACTTCCACACGCACGTTCCGTTACCTGTTCCCTATCATACCCGTTTCGACCAAATGCACCGCGTTTTGCCGATCAAATCCGTTTCTATCGGGCGTACCGCAGAAGTCTGTATCCATGAACGACCGACTGTTGTCAAATGCTAGGGGTTGGGTAAGTTCAATGCTTTCAGACAGTCTACCCGCTGTCAGCACGAGATCTGATCCAGTCGTTTCAGACACACCACAGAAATCTGTGTCCACGAACATCCATCCACCGGGAAACGTCTCGACATCCCAAGTACCCTCACTATCGGGGATTAGTGCTGTAGATACGCGCTGACCGTCGGGAACGTCAGGAAAGCGAACAAAACGATGTCGAGCGGACATCGTAGACGAGCCTGAATGATTCGTCAGGGTCAACATCGAGAACTCCCTTTTCAAACCGCAATGCCGATCAGAGGGAGCTTCCGGACTGCTGTCACAAGAACTACGTTCTCGAACATCGTCTTCTCCGTGTTGTCGTGACGGTGGCGGTGGCGTGACACAATGGACAGATTGGATACCCATATGAAGAGACGATTCACACGAAAAACCGTACAACAAGAAAATCACGTCAACGTATGAGCAGGTCAGGGAAATAAACAAGAAGGAGTAAACTCGCATTTCTAATATTTATCACAAAACAGTGGAACAACAACATTTGAATCCATATCGTTTGTCGGACCCTCATATGTCCGAGTAAACTCGCACTTTTTCCGGCGAGAGTACAAATGCGAGCTGATTCGAACTTAGGGGCGTGGTTAGTTCAAGTGTCAACAAAGTCACACTTCAAACGAGCATTTCAATTACGACGCCGTGCAATAAAAAATTACCTTCGCTGTTGGTTTAGTGGCGAGTTAACTTGCAAATAGAAAACGACTTTATTCTTTTGCGCCGAGAAGAGATGTGAGTTTACTGCTCGAGTGCTTCGATTTCGAGACAGTACAAGTGCGAGTTAATTCTGACTTATGGACTAAAGAGTAACAAATTTAGGGGGAATACACATTTCGTTAAAAGTGAACCTTTTGATTGTTCATTTTCTATAACAATGCCGAAATTCACGTTGGAGCAATATAAGTAAGAGAAATTCATGTTGGTAATATGAACTGAGGAGCGACATAAATAAGAATAAATCGAGACAATCATCGGCAAGTGTTGCTAAGTGGGCAGTGATATGGGTCAACTGCCATCGCATGGAGTACTCGACCCATCACACATGCACACACCCCACCCAACCCCAACCACCCCAGCACACCAACGGTGTCCGAATTTCTCCCTTGTAGGCTATCTTCGAGGTAGGCTTTTGGAGCGGCCGCCGCTCAACAACTCATAATAAACTCCAAGTTTGTTCGAGTGCTCCGGGCCCATCAACGTGCAACTTGTGCGCTTGATTATGGGCACTACATTGTACGCCATCATTGCGACTGCTTGTATAATATATAAACAAAGATTTAATTCGGAATAAAGAAGATTCTATTCAAGGTTTTAACATAATATTTTAGATTAAAATTAGTGAATAAAAAAAAAAAAGACTTAGTAATAGACTGCTTGCTTGCACATGCATTGGTAGTCGATATGAGATAGCCCTGTGCCCGCGGTGTTTTATACAAAGTGTCGCGAGTGTCGGCTATCCGATTTCCGCGACGGAAAGTTATGGGATGGCTACTGAAGGGACTAGGAGTGTTGTCGTGTTGTTGTTATGTTGTTTTCTATCATTTCGTGTGTGTGTGTGTGTACACATTGTATTTTAAATATTATGTTCGTAGTGAGCGGGATACGTCATAGTCGACGGACGTCGAATTTCGTGCGCCGTTTCTCGTGTGTAGTGATCGGGAAACGTCCTAGTTGACCAATGCAGCTGGCGGAAGGTCAATATGTATTCCGTGATGAGGATGAAGACCAATGCGCTCGACAGCGTCACGAACCCCAAAAATTGGACGCTCTAAGTGGGTCATTAATTTCTGCGAGCAAAGGTAGAGGACGAAATCTTAAACTCCGAATGAATTCCCAGTTAGTCGTTGACAAATCCCTTGTATAAGACTCTGATGACCTTGCCCGCACTAAGCCTGACAAATGTGATGAATCACACAGTTCCCACTCGCGGAGAAGTGAATCTCGGCAATTGTGGTGAATCTTTATCCGTCAACACGACAATTGAGCACGAAATGAAATCAATGCGCAGGGGTAAAGGCGAGCGAACAATCACGCTAAAGGCGCCAACGGTTATTAACGGGCATCACCACATTATATGAGATTGATATTGGATTCGATCACCCATGACATACCGGTTGTCGACCCCTTTTAGCAAAAAGGTTCGGGCAGTGGACATTATATGAATTTGCAATGGCGGGTTCTTAGGGATGGCGGCGAGCGGAGGCGGAAACACAGGGGGGAGGGAGGGGAGAAAGAGATAAATAGATAGATAGGTAGATAAATAGATAGATAGATAGATAGATAGATAGATAGATAGATAGAGATAGATAGATAGATAGATAGAGAGAGAGAGAGAGAGAGAGAGAGGGAAAGAGAGAGAGAGAGGGAAAGAGAGAAAGAGAGAGAGAGAGAGAGAGAAAGAGAGAGAGAGAGAGAGAGAGAGAGAGAGAGACTATTTGAACAGCTAGTCCATTCGCAGTTATCGGTCACCTTAAGGAAGTGGTCAAACACACGTTGGTCGTCTTTCCAGATTGTCATTTGCACTCGGACGGGAACGTTAATGCGAGGTTGATGCCAGGTCGTGATCTGTTTGGTGACTGACCACATTTATGAAGTGGCAGACCACCTTCAAGAAGTGTCAAGCAGTCGTTGGTGATGGCTGTGTATTTGTTTCCCTCACGTTATCAGTTATTGGCGCGGATTGCCATTAGCACTCCCAGGGAATTTGCATGTCCGCGGAGTGTGAGGTCCTTCTGTGGGATGCATCCGAGACGGTAACGTATCCAGCGGGGGCCAACATTACTACATGTATGCAACGCCGAACACCCATCGGCACGTATACAAGCAATGGAAGTGATCACGAGCCTTCTGCATCGGTAGAAATGACCACCCTCGCGAAGTGCCAAACAGTCGGCGGTCAGAGGACTCTAGTGCTAAAAGCATTCTTAGGGGACCTTGCGGTCGTGTTCAGAACTTATTGGAGTAGCACTAGATGCTCACCAAATAGTTTTGGATGTCGATTGTATGGACGCATCATATGATGCTTACAAGCAAGCAGTGGCTAATTGCAGGACCTTCTACTCGGAGTGGATCTTTGAGAGCAGATTTGACGCAATCCACCGTTAGATCCATTCCTGCAAGGGGGACCTGCCTGCTACTGTTTACTGTACTCATCACGTGGGAATCGACGACGTGAGGAACCGACAATGAACACTCTTAGGGGACTTTGCGGCCGTGTTTGGAACTTATTGGCGTAGCACTAGATGCTCACCAAGCAGTTCTGGATGTCGCTTATATCGACACATCATATGATGACTTACAAGCAAACTGTGGTCGGATCCCGGCCCCCATCCCCAGTGTGGATCTATGAGAGCAGATTTGACGCAATCCACCGTTAGATCCACATCGGAGAGGCGGACCGGTCATCCTGCCGCTGTTCAGTGTAGTCATCATGTGGGAGTCGACATCGCAAGAGCCCGATGATGTTCCAATTGGGACGTGCTCTTGCTTCGTGATGTGCAGGTGCTTACCGGCGGTGCATTCGATCCCGTCCTTGACGTGAAACAAAGTGCGAGGGGATAGCTCAGGGTTCACACCAGAAGTGCGATTGAACTCGCACTTTGATGGAGAAGCAGGCGCGCACTCCATCAGCGCGATGATTTAATATGGACATTGGCTTGTCATGTGTATATTTCCGGATGAAAATGTCATGAAATCCTTGTGTGGAGAAGACACATATTCATTCATACAAGTATCTCTTGTCATCACAAACATCGAAACGGAAACATCTCAAGTTGCCAAGTGTTTTTCCAAAGGTAAAATTGCACAACACACGAAGAGTTCCCATAAATCATTCAATGCAAAAAATTCATTCAATGGCAAATTGCAAAGTACATAGAGGCGTATCCGAAAGCAATTGAATGCCAAATATCATTCAATCCCACATTGCAAAGTACACGGAGGCTTTCCAAAAATCACAAAGTACATAGAGGCAATTTCACATTCGGCAAGACATGACTCAAATGACAATCTTTTTCGCGATTTATCAATTTTGGCAAATTTGTGGACATGAACGGTTTAATCACAAATGTACGACATCCCAAGTGTGAATATGTTCGCATTTCTCATACGGAAACAACAACCAGCATTCCGTGGAGAGCACGAGATTTGTTCTGGGGATAACAAAATTGAAAATCATTTGTTGCACCGCTGAATCCGTAAAACAACTTCAGCACACATACATTCTGGCGACAATTGGTTTCTGAATGGAGAACAAGTTTGCAATTGTCATATGGAACCAACAGACAACATTCAGTCGAGACAAGCAGAGGGGGTGAACCATAAAACGTGGCGGCACGCGCAGAACAGGGGCGAGCCAAAACATATGAAAGCTGGGCGGTCGGGGTGGGGCGGGGGAGGGGGGCTTAAATATTACAAAGTCTCGCGAAAGAAAGAGATAAGCACGAAATGATTTGGCGACCAAAAAGAAATCATTGATATCTTTTAACAACATCTTGCTAAATGAACCAGAGTATCGAGCCCCACGAGCATGAGTGTCAACAATATCGACAAGAGGACGAAGATGTCCCATGAGTAACACAGGAGCACAACATGGAAACGAACAAACGCAACACGGTGTTGCCGCGGTCGTAGAAGTCATAAGGAGAACAACCCGTAAAAAAAAAAAAGGAGCACAAAGCTGGGATATTCACATCCGATAGGTAAGCGTCTACTTAAAAGATACTGCACCACGTGGCTGGGATATTTACATTGGCATTTAAGCTTGTACTTCACGTAAGCGTCCGCCACAACCCTCTAGCTGATGTTGCGCGGCAGCACGGCGATGCCGAAAGTCAACATGGCGCTGCCGAAAGTCCTACGAGAAATGAAGAACCCTTAAAAAATTGCTACAGCACGAAGCTGGGATATTCACATCGACACCTAAGCGTTTACTTTATCAAAACATCCACTGCAATCCGGTACCTCATCAAAACAATAGCACAGCTCGAACCGACCGACTGCTAGACCAAGTGGGAACAGATTTGCGCTTCTGCTTATGGCCTTTCGAATAAAAAACTACGCGAATTTTAATAACAGGGGTATCATTTAGAGCCTTGGAGTATGTCCATCGCAATCCTCAGCCTGATGTTTGGAATGTCGCTTTGGGCCATCGGAAATGGTGGCGGATAGCCGCGTGCAAGAAGTAAAGTGAAGGTGAGCATGAAAACACCGCGGCTCCACCGGTCCGACTGTTGAGGGACATCATGAACAACCACCTTGGGCTCCTGGAGATCCAGTTTCGTTGTTTGACCATAATAACAAACTGCTTCGTCACGGAGGTATTGCTCGAAGTTCGCAATCACATCGGAAGAAAAACCGCCATCGTCTTGTAGGAGGGAGTCGTAGTACTCCAGCCATTGTTCTCGGACATACAATAGGATCCAATGCACTCGATTTTTATGGACAGGAACCAAGACCATCTCGTACGAGAAAATATCCACATCCTGTCCATCTCGCAACCCTATCATGTCGATAACCGCCATCGACGAGCTTGGTATAGAAAAAGGGACTGAAAATGTAAAGAGAGGGACACCCAGACAACGCAGCGTTGGCAAGCAAGGCCAAGTACGACTCCACCACCTCATCGGAAAGCCATTCCCCCTCAACAAGAGTTTGAAGACTTTTTCTGCTCAACGGAACTGAACTGGCCCCTTTGCGAACCGAGGAAACCACCTCCTGGTCGTTGCTGAAATCTCCGCAAACGTCCTTCAACATTCTTAAGTCCGTAGCGCTCAGCTCCTCAGTAGGCAAGGGAATGCGAAAACATGATGTAGCCCCAGCTGCACAAACACCCACGAACAAGTGTGAGGAGTGACCAAAATCACCAGGGCGAAATGACTAAGAACTGTCTGCCCTTTTCCCAGAAAAGTTGTATCCCCGACTGTTGAATGTGTCCTTGGCGATGTACTTAGGACACGGGTCTTTCAAGACACCCCGTTTGGCATCATTATCAGACCCATCAGACAAAGTAGTAACGCTTTCAATAGACGCAGCCAAATGTTTCCGCAAACCTTCCTCCTTATTTATTCCACAAGCCTTCAAAACCCTGACAGCTCTTTGGGAAAGGCCAGGCATCTGGACCCTTTTAAACAAACCTACACTTGACGACTTCCTCGGTAAAGCGGCCAATGACCTCCCTGAAAGACATTTCTCTCACACGACTTTTAAAGGCTTCATGGGCAGGGACATTGACAACCTCACACCTGTAAAACATGGAAAACAACCCACAGCCCATAGACTTTTTCTGCTCAACGGACCTGAACTGGCCCCTTTGCGAACGGAGGAAACCACCTCGTGGCCGTTGCTGAAATCTCCGCAGACGTCCTTCAACATTCTCAAGTTCGTAGCGCTAAGATCCTTAGTAGGCAAGGGAACGCCAAAACATGATGTAGCCCCAGCGACACAAACACCCACGAACAAGTGTGAGGAGTGACCAAAATCATCGGGGCGAAATAGCTAAGAACTGTGTGCCCTTTTCCCAGAGAAGTTGTATCCCCGACTGTTGAGTGTGTCTTTGGCGATGTACTTAGGACACGGGTCTTTCAAGATACCCTGTTTGGCATCGTCATCAGACCCATCAGACAAAGCAGTAACGCTTGCAATAGACGCAGCCAAATGTTTTCGCAAACCTTCCTCCTTATCTATTCCACAAACCTTCAGAACCGTGACAGCTCTCTGGGAAAGGCGAGGCACCTAGACCCTCTTAAACAGACCTACACTTGACGACTTCTTCGGGAAAGCGGCCAATGACCTCCCTGAAAGACATTTCTCGCGCATGGCTTTTAAAGGCTTCATGGGCAGGGACATTGACAACCTCACACCTGTAAAACATGGAAAATAACCCACAGCCCACAAGTTTTTTTTTAACAAGCGGTAATACGTACATGAGCCCATCACATCAATTTGGACGAACACAAAGTTGACTACTGACAGACATGCGTGTGCTCCTATTCACAAATCTTACCGTGGTCGGGCGCTCTTCGATGGAAACCGCCCTCCTGTCGCGCCACTGCGCCAACATCGATGGAGGATTCGACGTTCGACACTTCGGCCACGGTTGTGTCGCTAACCAGCTTGGTGGCAGCTGAGTCGCTAGGCAAGCCGATGGCTTCATGAAGTACCATTTCCCGACCGGTACTGAGGACAGATGCTCGATCACCCTGTTCTTCACTGCAACGGGTGGAGGGAGAATCATGATCTTTCCTCTCTGGATCCATCTTGATGTTGACTGCTACCTCACCGCCTTCCACGGAGGATTCGACGTTGTGCACCTCGGCCACGCCTGAGTCGTTAACCAGCTCGGTGGCAGCCGAGTCGTTACCCAACTCGATGGCTTCATGAACTACTATTTCCCGACGGGTACTGAGGACAGACGGTCGATCACCCTGTTCTTCACCGCAACGGGTGGGCGAAGAATCATCATCTTTCCGCTGTGGATCCGTCTGGACGCCGACCGTCACCTCACCGCCTTCCACCACGGGTTCTCCGCCTTTCTCATTGCCATGAACCCGAGCTTCCACCGCAGGTCCTTCTTCGCCTTCATCATCTCCAAGAACGGGAGCTTGCACAAACATCCAGTGACCTCCCTTAACGACACCCTCTCGCATCGTGGCCACAGCCGAACGACTATGCCGAACCTCTTCGGACGTCCCGCTCACCAGCACTCCTGCGTCGAGCCCCTTCACGACTTCGCAAGCCGGCCAGTGTTTAGTATCCTCTTCCCGCTGCAGAGCACTCTCGCTGTCAGTGTCCACGGATGCACCCTCCGAAGCATGACGTTCCCACTCGCTACCCCCGATCTCCAACACTTTGCAAGACTGGCAGCGTTGAGTTTCCTCTTCTCGCTATACATCACGCGTTCCCGGAGAGTGCTCCTCTGCCCTAGGAGCCGATGCACTCTCGCTGTCACCGTCGAGTGGTTCACCCTCTGAAGCATGACGTTCGTACTCGCCAAACCCGGTCTCCAACACTCCTGCAGGGGGTCCCTCCAGCAAGACTCGAGACCGCCAGTCTCGAGTCTCAGCAAATGAGAACGGAGCTGAGCAGGGGAACCCTGTGCCCAACTGAAGATGGGGGGGGTAGGACGTCACATTTTCTTCGCCCCGCGGAACTGTAGCGTGAGGAGCACTTGTGGGGGACGGCCTCCAGGGCGACGTCAGAAACTCCGAATCTATTTGGAGTTTGTGGCGCTCGCCCGAGCTGAGGGAACTGAAGGTCGCACCTTCGGTCCTTCGCAATGCAGGCCTCCCACCCTCCAGGCAAAACGATGACGCAGTTCCTATCAAGGAATGGTCTCGCCGCATAGGAGCTGCTGCCGTTTGCTGCACACGTCCGCCCTCTTCCAGGAGCAAGGTGTTGAGCACAGGAGACCTCTGTTGCGCATGGCGGGATGGATTCTCCTCGGCATTGGGAAACAAAGTCCTCGTAGACAAGTGCGAATCTACTCGCACTTGATTAGACCTCAGGGTGGTCGCGTCTCGCATGTCGGAATCTCGACTCCCTACGCAGTGGGGGTCAGTTTCCATATACTGGGGACTAGCGAACGTTCTACGCTTTCCGCCCGAACCCTTCCCGCCCAACCCCTTTCCGCCCGACCCCTTTCCGCCCGACCCCTTTCCGCCCAAGTCCTTCCCGCCTGACCCCTTTCCGCCGGACGCCTTTTCTCCCAACCCCTTTTCGCCCGCATGACCCCTTTCCGCCGGATGCCTTTTCTCCCGGCGACGTTTCGCCCGTCCTCTTTTCCGCAAATTGTGAGCCGTCTCCTATGCCACCTCCGCCGTCTCCTTCGTCTCCCCCTCCACCCCTTCCCGGACACTGACCGCCCGACGGAGGTTGCGGCATGCGCCAGTCAATGCCACGAGATGGTGTCGTTTCGAGTGTGTAGAAAGGCGCTCGAAACTCCAACATTTGGCGTACAACTCATTTAGCTTTTGTTTTGCATACTCACCGACGTCCTGATCGCTCCTTTCGGGGTTCATAAGACTCAAATGCTCGACCAGAGCATCTCTCGCCTTTCTCTTAAATTGTCCCGCTCCCAGTTTCTTCATTCCACTCCACTTGCCATCGGCGTCCTTCTTTGCCATGACCTACTTTCCACTCTCCACAGCAGGTTGGAATATCCTCGGGTGCCAGACGACGTTGTGTCCCCAGACATCCTCGGACGTGAACCAGTGATGCTTGCCGAAGAAGAAGAGTCTGTCATTCAGCCAGTTATTATGGTCCATAGGGAGCCTGTCACAAGGTTCATAATCATAGTCTCTCTCTTCCTCCCCGTCATCAGACAATTGGTCGTCGACTGGTTCACGCCCAAACACACGCTTCAAACCGGCAGGGGACATGCTATATCTCCGAGGACCGCCTTCCCCTTCATCACCAACCTGTCCAACCACCCGAGGAAATGGCATGGACTCGAAATCGAAGGTTTCCGAGTCGCTCAACTCCTCCATGTCTTCAGCGTCGAAAGGGTCCTCCAAGTCAAACTGTGCCTTGTAGTTTTCAAGGGTGAGCGTTTCGGCCACCACGAAGTAAACGTGCTCCAGCCTTCTCAGGAAATGCGAGACTGACTCCCTGGGTGCATCGTGGTACCCATTCAGCACACCAAACACCAGGTTTCTCCGTCGACTGTATTCGAGGTCAGTCTGAGATGACGGCCTGGGTTGGAAAAGGAAGTCCCAAACCTTTGTCCTTTTGTTTCCCGACAATTTCCAATACATGTCACGTTTGGGGTCTCAATTCCGTTTGCCAGTGGTCAGGACAAAAGAGCAATCATTGCGACGGTCTTCCACGAGTGTCTTCACGAACTCGACAAGGTAGTCGATCATCCTCGTCTCGTTCTCCAACGTGACGACGTTTCGACCGTTGCGCAGGAGCTCCCACACGACAGACGCATGCGGCTTCCCAAAGAAAAAAACCGTTTGGCCAGCTTTGCAAAAGTTTTCGAGAAGACGAAGTAGATGGGACGGGTTACGCTCCCTCTGCTCGTAAGCAGGTCCAACAACACTTGTCACGCCGCCGTCCTCCCACATGCTACGAGGGAACCTCTCCTCCTCCGCCACGTCGAAACACGCCACAGCCTGTCCTGATGGGTCCAACGAACAGGAAACTTCGAGAGGGCCGCCACCGCGTGTTTGGCCGGACTTGGACTATGAGCACGGGAAACCTTTGTCAGGCTACTGGCCGGGTAGACTGCGACTGTGTTGACTCCGAGGTTCTCGAGGTTCTCGCCATTGAAAATCATGTACAGGCAGTCACAGTCCTCAACCAACATATTGCCTTCCTGGACAGTGGCCTGCGTTTGTGCATGGCGCACCCACTTCCCTGTCCTGACGTGATGGACGCTAAGCCTGGCCATGCCTTTCAAGAAACTGAGCTCCCAACGAGAGGGGAAAAAGACCACAAGTGCCCAGTGCGTTGGCGACAGAGTTTGGAGAACGCCTTGCAAGCTGGCGAAAATCGTCTTCTCTCCAGTCTGTGAGGAACGTGGGATCACACAAATCGAGGACGTACAGGTTGCACACGAAATGTCGCACAATCTCACGGATCTCAGTGATACGACTGTGAGCTTGGGAAGGCGGGCAAGCGAAAGGAATAAGGTTGGTCACCCGGTTGAGGTTGTGCCATTTGATGTGCCTCACATCCCCGCTGACCCTGATTGTGTCTCGAACTTGTTCTTCCGTCCGTTGTAAGATGAAACGGACAGACTTTTCGGAAGATTTAGGGAACATGTCATCCTCGTACAATCTCTTCGCGTCGTCGAGGGACTCCTTCTGGTGCAGAAGAGAACGTTTGCAAGTGTTCACGTACTCGACCGTGCCCTTGAAATGCTTTCGCAGTTCGACCCACACCTGTTTCGTGAGGCCCCGCGGGCCGGACTCCGCCAGAAGTTGTCCCTCGGTCCGGAAAAAAGTGCTCCTGTAGCGCCAAACAGCTTCGTTCTCCTCCGTTTCAAGGAACAAGATGTAGTGAAACAAACGGAGCATCACGGGGTCCACTTTCCACGCCGCGACCATGTCTTTAACTCTAGGTTTGTATTGACATTTCGGATGCCCGCCCGCCGATGGCACGAACACTGCCCTAAGTCCGAGAATGTCGTCTAGGATCGATAGTTTTTCGGCATCGGTCATGATGGCGAGACACTGCCAACAAAACATGTCCGGCTCCTTCACGACCATGAAAAACTTGTCGTCCGCTTGCGTTCTCTTTTTTGTCGGAGGCGGCGGGACCCCGACCAGCGACCCCATCTTCGTTTCACCAGCCGCCCCTTTCGAGCCCATTTCCGGAATCGCTTGAAGACCCGGAGATTTGTTTGGCATGTATTTGCCAGACCTCAACAATGATGTCTTCCCGTCGCCGCCCAACAACTTCCCCTCCGCCCATTTCTCGTAGAACTCCATGCCTTTGCGGAAAACGACATTACCGGCCGTCACGAGCGGCATCCACTGCCTCAATGCATTGCCAACGGCAACGACGTACTCCTTGTCGGTGAGCGCCATATCTTTTTTTGCCAACGACCAGTGAGAGTCGTTCGGACTCTTTCCCAAAATTAGCTTTTGGAAATCGAAAAACTTTTGTTTCTCGGCCTCCTTGTTGGAAGGGTTGCCTTGAATGGCAACCGGCCTCCCTTCTTTCTCCCATGCCTCCCACATGTCCTCGAACGCCGCCTTCTGCGATCGACAACTCTAGCCAGCCACGAGTGCATCTTCCACAATTCGAACATTGGCTCATCCACCAACTCCTTAACAGCAGCCACGGTGTGTTGTCCGTTGACAGGGTAACAGTAGTACTTGTCCTTGTCCTCTGGCTTGAAGACATCTTTGTGTACCCTGTCAGCAATCTCCGGCCTATGCGTCACCGGGTTGTAGATGGGCGCCAGAACCAAAGGGTTTTTCGTCCAGATCTTTCCCTTTTCCTTGTGGAACCGACTAAGCATTGCCGCCTTGATGTCGTCCACATTTTCGCGATTGAGACAGCGGTGGTTGTAATATCTCTCCCAAGGCAGGATGTCGCAGACCTTCCTTGGGTCGATGAACAGTTGGACGGGGAGCTCCTTTTCCACGATCTCACCGTCATCGTTCCGCTCGTATTCAAGCCTGAACGCTGCCGCTTCGTCGTACTGCTTACCGACAGCCTGTTCGCCACCGCCCGCCGCCTCAGCAGTCTTCCTCCTTCGAGGTTTGTTCTGGCCATCGTCTTCTTCAGCTGCCACTTTCCTTTTGGATTTCCCCGAAGGTTCTCTCGCGGCCGGAGCGCCTGGATGAGCCGAATCTCCTCCACCCATGGCTTGTCCTTCGCGGATGGTCAAACCGTCGGGCCTCCTCGCTTTTTTACTTGTCGCCGCACCCTCTTCCTTCGACAGCCTCTTTCCAACTCCATGTTCTTGTCCGCCACGCCCTCTTTCCCGAGGCACGTTCTCTGACATCACCTCCATCCCCGCCCATAACCGGCTCCGATTGTTCTTTCATCCTCTTCATGCGGTGGGTTTCCTCCGCCACCTCCTCTTGCACCATCCTCCGTCGCTCGCACTTCTTCTCCGAAGAAGTCGGCTCCCCGCCAGAGCTTTCGCATACAGCGCCCATCCCTTCAGCCTCATTCCCTCCAACCTCTTGGCCCGATCTGCCGGATTCTGTTCTCGTCTCATCTCGAAGTGAATACGTGTCGCCTTGGCAGCGGACCTTGAGGATTTTTGGAGTACCGACCCGGTGAGTCCCCGCATCTGGAGAATGCAAGTCTAACGTGTTCCCAGGAGCATCTGGGTCGACCTGTGTGTGAACGCTGCGCCCCTTCCCCTAACCCCCAACGTCGTGAATCGCATTCCCGTGCCCCACTGGCGTCTCATGAGCTTCGTGAGCCAAGCCAGACGACCCCTCATGGAGTGGCAGAAGCCGAAAAACATATTCTTGTGGAAGAACTGGATGTTGTTTCGGCACCTTCAGCGCTAGATCGAGGTATTGCACTGGCGATGGAACACGCTTGCTGCCGCCATCGTAAAGCCCTTTGAAGTGAGGGCACAGCGTCATGTTGGAGCCGTACCCCACGAAACTCTTGATGGCCACCATCACACCCTTAACACCTCTGTAATGCATTCTGCACTCGTCATACAAGCCGTTAGTCTGCAGCTTGAGCAAACCTCTACTAATCTTGTCGGATGAGACGATGGCACCGAGAGGAATAACGTTGTCCGCTCCCTCCGCGTTTGGAACGCAAGTGGGGCGTATGAAAACAGCTGGCCCAAAAAGGTCCCCCTGAACAACGAAGTCCAAAAACCATTGTGCCTCCCTTGTGTGGATATACAGAGGAGTAGATTGTTAAAGAGGTCGTCCCTTCCCGGGGGCAGTTGGCCCAGCGCTTGTGGATGTCTTCTTTGCGGACGACATTGTACTCCCACCCGTTGACTAATACGCCCAACCTCATACCAAATCGGATGACCGGGAGCAAAGCAACGAGGTTTTCCAACACTACAGAAGGAAATTGCGAACTAACTCAGACTTAACGAATGAGGACGAAAAGGTAGTAAGAGATGGGTGTTTGAAATTCACACGAAGTCACAACAATTGGGTAAAGGAGAAGAAAGACAGCAGTCCTCCGGCGGAGTGAGTTCGGAGGGAAGACAACAGCTCCACGGAAAGAGTGCGAATGAACTCGTTGTCCTAGAATCGAGGAAGAGGTGATTTATCTTCACGAAAGTGCAAACTAACTCGGAGTTCCGGGATTGACCGCACGGGTACCGACAAGCGACGAATGAGATTGGTGTTTGAAATGCAAACGAAGTCAAGACAATTGGGTAAAGTTGAGGAAATGCAACACTCCTCTGGCACAGTGAGTTCGGAGGGAAGACAACAACTCTTCCGAAAGATTGCGACCCGACTCGCTGCCCTCGGAACGAGTAAGCTGTGGTTTATCGACAAGTGCGAAGGGTATCGACAAGTGTGAACTAACTCACAGTTCTGGAGACGATACAACAATTGCAACCCGCAGTACTGGAAAAGTGAAAGTCACGTTTAACAAAAGGCTGCTACAAGTGCGAACTAACTCGGAGTTATGGAAGTGAACACCTGAAAGACGCAGGACATGGGTGTCTAGAAGTGCGAACTAACTCCCAGTTCCGTGGACGGAGGTTAACTACTCCTTCAGCGGTGCTGGTCAATAAGTGCGAACTCACTCGCAATTGTGGAAATAAAGAACTGCCTTTAATGAAATAGGTGTCTAACCTTGGGAAAACTGCGAATTAACTTGCAGTTGTCACTCCTCAAGCAGTGTAGGTCGCAAACTGCGAACTGACTCGCAATATATATATATATATACCAGGTCGGCGACCTGACAAGGGACAGGTGAGCGAAAATAGGGAATTGATTCGGTGTTCAGTGTAGAAACTAGGTGTTGATTCGGGATTCACCATGTGCTGTGACGAGTCGCGAAGGGGATCGAGCAACTTTATACAAACGTTATGATGGCTATGGCGAAAGGTAATCGAGCTGCGAAACGCGGATCGACTATGGCGGACGGAGGTGGAGGGTGGACAAAGGACATCACAACACGTCCGTTGGCGAAATAACAAAACCGGGAATTGATTCGGGGTTCAACATGCGGCAACTGCGGCGTTATATCCTGCAGGTAAAGACAAGGCATCTGGGAATCTGTTCGCACATCAGACATAGAATGGGACAACTCACGTTACAGAATCTTACCTTCGTCGTGCGCTGAACGAATGACCAACGTCGGATGGATATGGATGTGCGATCACCGAACCGGCTATGGCGAATGGAGGGATATCGAGCTAGGAAGAGCGAACCGGCTATGGCGAATGGAGGGATATCGAGCTAGGAAGAGCAAACCGGCTATGGGGAATGGAAATCCAGCGACGAAGAGCGAGCTACGGAGAGCGAACCGAACACAATGCGGCAACTGCGCACGGAGCGAAGAGCGAACGGGCTATGGCGGAAGGAGGTGGGGGCTGAAGACAAAATATCAGAACGTGCATGGAAGCGATAGCGCGACTTGACCTGTGGAGCGACAACAAAAGGGATAACGCGAGGGCAACAACGTCTTTTATACTTTCCCGCAGCAGGCCTCGCGTCGGGATCAAGGTGGGGCCATATCGATTCGCATATCGCACACCTGGGCCCATAAAACGCCAGGGCCTATAAACGGGTAAGAGGTACTGGAAATTATCAGCCGTCGATCAACAATTTTCAACGGCGCAGATGAACGGAGCCACTGGCATGCCAGTGGCCTCAAAATCTCCGTCAACTCCGACGTGCAATGATGTGACAGTTCCAGAAAACAAGGGGCAGGCAAGGTCATTCTCGCAGTTGTAATCTGGACCGTCGATAGGCATAATCCGACGCATGAGGTGAGGCATAAGAATCTACAAGGTGTGGCGATTCGTTGTGCGCCGAGGCGGTTTGTTGCGTGCCGAGGCAAGGCGACTGTTCATTTCGCGCCGAGGCGCGGCGATTCGTTGTGCACCGAGGTCAAAAACACCGGAAATCTATAAGTTCCGGTGTCGCTGCCATTCGGACATTTTGCAAAAGTCAACGGCGTTGGATATCGATGCGCTTAGCCATGCACCATCGCCATCAATGCGCTTAGCTCATCGCCATCACCGACGCTCGCCATGCACCATTTCCATCAATGCGCTTAGCTCATCGTCATCGACGCGACGCCATCGATGCCCTTCGCTCATCCCATCGCAGCGCTGGCCATCGCTATCGCTGCCATTGCACCGCTGGCCATTGTAACGCGTTCCATCGCTGCGCCATCTTTCTCATCGTCACGCCATCTCTCTCCTTCGGCGCGCCATCTATCTCCATCGATGCGCCATCGCTAACCATCGTTGTGCCTTCTCTCTTCATCGGTGCGGCATCGTTAACCATTGTTGCGTGTCCTTCCTCCATCTCTCTCCACCGATGCGTGTCCTCTCTCCATCTCTCTCCACCGGTGCGAGATCTCTCCCGACCTTTCTTCATCTCCCGACCTTTCCCAATCTATCTCCATCGCCGCGCAATCTATGTCCTTCTCTCTCCTTCGGTGTGCCATCTTTCTCCATTGTTGTGATGTTGCTAACCATCGCTGCGCCTGCTTTCTCCATTGTTGTGTTGTCGCTGACCATCGTAGCGCTGACCATTGTAACTCGTTCCATCACTGCGCCATCTTTCTCATCGTACGCCATCTCTCTCCATCGGCGCGGGCGCTCCATTGCTCTTCACCGCAGCGCTGGCCATCGCTAGAGCTGATTTGTTGGGCACTTTGGCGCCTTCGCGATCTCTTCGCCATCGCTGCGCGATTTCTCTTAATCGCTACTGCGGGATCTCTCTCCATCGCCGCATGATCTCCCTCCATTGCTGAGTGATCACTCTCCATCTCACTCCATCACTGCACGATCTCTCTCGACCACCGGGCGACCTCCATCCCTGCGCCAGAGGCTCTCCATCACTCCTGCGTGATGCCGCCATCGCCCTTGTATTGTTGTTTCAGTCCGTCCTCAGTGCAACCGCCCATCACAATGGATTTGCACGAAACAAGTGACAGGTATGCTTTACGAAGGTTTAACGCGATGGATGTCACTTTGATAATGAAACTGATGATGTGCAATAACTAATCTTGGTCATCGCTGCGCCAACTCTCTCCATCGGCGCGCCCTCGCTAACCATCGTTGTGCCTTCTCTCTCCATCGGTGCGGCATCGCTAACCATTGTTGCGCGTCCTCTCTCCATCTCTCTCCACCGGTGCGCAATCTCTCCCGACCTTTCTTCATCTCCCGACCTTTCTTCATCTCCCGACCTTTCGTCATCTATCTCCATCGCTGCGCTATCTTTCCCAATCTATCTTCATCACCGCACCATCTATGTCCATCTCTCTCCTTCAGTGCGCCGTCTTTCTCCATTGCTGTGTTGTCGCTAACCATCGTTGCGCCTGCTATCTCCATTGTTGCACCATGTCTCTCCATCAGTGCGCAATCTCTCTCCCTCGCTGCGGCATATCTCTCAATCTGTTCGCGATCTCTTTCCCGGAATATACAACGCACGTTCATTATAGTTGTCTTTAGACTGAAAGATGCCCCGAATTCAGCTGTAATGACCGGACGTTGTATTCGGGGGAAGACTGTAACTCCATCCATCTCTCTTGGTGCGCCATCTCTCTCAATCGGTGCGCAATCTCTCTCAATCGATGCGCCATCTCTCTCCATCTATTATCATCGGTGCGTAGTCTGCCCATCGCTTCGCAGTCTTTCTCCATCTTAAGAAATAGTACGCCATCTTTCCTCATTTCTCTCTTGCGACGATCTGTGGCTCGTACTACACGCAGAACAAGCGGGAAACAACTTGCTCTTGTACCCACAATTTCGTAATGGAAATGTTTGTTTGCAAGTGCGAATTCATTTGCTCTTGAACCAACCAGGCCCCTTAGTTTGTTATTGTATAGTCAATAGGTCAGAATTAACTCGCACTTGTACCCCCAGTTTCGTAATGGAAATGCTCGTTTGCAAGTACGAATTTATTCGCTCTTCAACCAACCATCCCTCTAAATTTGTTACTCTTTAGTCCATAAGTCGTAGTTTCGTAATGGAAATGCTCGTTTGCAAGTGCGAATTTATTCGCTCTTCAACC